GAGCGTCTCGCTCCTTCTTTAGGGACCGCACCACTCTCACGCCGCTGAGTCGGCCGGTTGCGGTGTCCCTGGCTGACCCCTCTGGGGGACCTGTCCTGTCTCGCTTCTCCACTGTCCTCCCGTGTCCAGCGGCCCCCTCTCGCACCCTGACTGGTCTCTACCTCCCCTCGTTCTCGACGAACTTGGTGAGTGGTGCTGACCTCCAGGATGCAGGTGTCCACCAGTTCACCCCTCCTCGTCAGCGGGTGACCCACTGTACGGAGGCGGATACAGGTCGTCACCTGGCTACGTTTACACGTCGGCCAGGGTCGAGCCTGTACACACTGACCACTGCTTCTCCTCCAGGTGCTGCGTCTGGTAGAGTCCCTTCGTCTGGTCAGGTGTTTGCTGCAGCGTCCAGGTCTGGTCGTGAGTCTGCCCCCTGTTCGTGTCGTCGTCTGTCTCACGAGACCCTCCTCTGGCACCACCGCCTTGGCCACCCCTCTCTGCTTCGGCCCAGAGGCATGGCCTCGCGGGTCCTTGTGTCTGGTCTTCCCCGGTCCCTCCCTCCCCTTCCTCCGGGCCCTGGCCCTGCCTGTGTCCCCTGTGTCGAGGGGCGCCAGCGTGCTGCCCCTCACTCCTCCCAGTTTCCTCCGACAGAGGCCCCGTTGCAGACGCTTCACATGGACGTGTGGGGCCCAGCCCGCGTCCGTGGACAGGGTCAGGAGCGCTACTTCCTGCTGGTGGTTGACGACTACTCGCGTTACACCACAGTCTTCCCCTTGCGCAGCAAGGGTGAGGTCACTGAGGTGTTGATCGACTGGATCCGCGCAGCTCGTCTTCAGCTTCGGAGGAGCTTTGGCTCTGACTTCCCTGTTTTGCGTCTGCACTCGGACAGAGGCGGAGAGTTCTCCTCTGGCCTCCTGAGTGCCTACTGTCGTGTGCGAGGCATCCGTCAGACCTTCACGCTTCCGGACTCACCACAGCAGAATGGGATTGCTGAGCGCCGCATTGGCATGGTCATGGACGTCGCTCGTACGTCCATGATGCATGCGGCTGCTCCCCATTTTCTGTGGCCGTTTGCGGTCAGGTACGCTGCGCACCAGATCAACCTCCACCCCAGGGTCTCTCGACCAGAGACCTCCCCAACCCTGCTGTGGACGGGGAAGGTTGGCGATGCGTAGGCGTTCTGGGTCTGGGGATCTCGGGCGTTTGTTCGCGACCTGTCTGCGGACAAGCTGTCCCCTCGTGCTTCTCCCTGCGTCTTCCTGGGGTTCCCCCCCGACGCCCCTGGGTGGCAGTTTTACCACCCCACCTCTCGACGTGTTCTGTCCTCCCAGGACGTCACGTTCGACGAGTCGGTACCCTACTACCGCCTCTTCCCCTACCGCACTCCGTCCCTCCCCCCGCCCCCGCTCTTCTTGGTACCAGGTCCCCCCCCGGTAGTCCCCCTCCCCCCTCAGGGTCCTGCCCCTTCAGGTGTGTCCCAGGTAGACGCGGTCGAGCCTGTCGAGGTCACTGGTGACTCTGGTGCTGCTGCGGGAGCTGAGCCTGAGGGTGCGGAGTCTGGGGGTGCTGAGCCTGGGGGTACTGTGCCTGGGGGTGTTGTGCCTGGGGGTGCTGAGCCTGGGGGTGCTGAGCCTGGGGGTGCTGAGCCTGGGGGTGATGAGCCTGGGGGTGCTGAGCCTGGGGGTGCTGTGCCTGGGGGTACTGAGCCTGGGGGTGCTGAGCCTGGGGGTGCTGAGCCTGGGGGTGCTGTGCCTGGGGGTACTGAGCCTGGGGGTGCTGAGCCTGGGGGTGCTGTGCCTGGGGGTGCTTCGTCTCGCCGAGAGCCACTCCCCCCACAGGAGCTGCGTGAGTGGTTTGCCAGGCGCTGGAGGCGTGCTGCTGGTGCTGGTGGTTCTTTGGCTGCAGAGGGTACTGCTGCCACGCGTCCTGGCGGTGCTCGTACTGTGGGTGCTGGAGCTGCTGGGTCTGAGAGTTCTCCTGGAGCTGGTCCTGCTGAGGGTGTTGGCGCTGAGCCTGCGGTTGGCGGTCCGACTAACAGTGTTCCTGGTGCTGCTGCTGGAGGTTCTGGAGCTTCTGGTGGTTCTGCTGGAGGTGCTGCTGGAGTGGGTGCTCCGGACGGGGCTGCTGCTGCTGTTCCTGCTGTTTCTGGTGTCGCCGCGCGGCCCCGACCGTACTTCGTTCCGCTCCTGCAGCAGGTTCTTGGTCTTGCACCTCCTCCTGCTCCCTTAGAGGGTCTGTAGCCTGTTCGGTCACAGCCACAGCTACAGCCTGCCTCCCCTTTGCCTGCTCCTTCTCCCTACGCTGGTCCGACTGGAGGTCTTACTAAGCGTCGTGAGCCTGCTTCTCGTCCTGCGTCGCCTGTTCGTACTGAGCGCGCTAGTGGTCGTGGTTCGCGTCAGCGTCCTCCTCCTGTCCCTGGCACGCACCGGATGTCACTGCGTCCGTCCACTGCTCCACTGCGTGCCCCTTTGCCTTCTCCTCCTGCTTCCTCTCTTCCTGCTCTTGCCGACCCTGAGTCGGACTCTATTCGCGCTGCCAGTCCTACTGTCACGCGTCTCCTTGCTACTGCTGTCACTGACCCTTCCTTCGAGTCGTCTGCTGCGTCTGCCCTTGTCACTGAGCTTGTCGACTTTGCTGCGCGCTGTCGTCTAGACTACGCTGCTCGTCTTGTCACTGAGTCTGAGTCCGCCTGTCCTCCGTCCGTCGGGGGTGAGTGTGCCCTTGGCACGGACGTCCTTGAGGACAGGCAGGAGGAGTTCCAGTGTCTAGCCGCTGCTTCACCTCGTCTTGCGTCTGTACTGCTAGCCCCTGAGGGAGACCCGGATGCACCAGACATCCCGACTCCGCGCTCTTACGCGGAGGCGATAGAGGGTCCCTACTCCTCTCAGTGGCAGGCAGCTATGGATGCAGAGATGGCTTCCTGGAAGTCCACAGGCACCTACGTTGACGCTGTTCCCCCTCCTGGGGCGAACATCGTCAGTGGCATGTGGATTTTCAGGGTGAAGCGGCCGCCGGGTTCTCCGCCTGTCTTCAAGGCGCGTTACGTGGCTCGTGGCTTCAGTCAGCGGCAGGGGGTTGACTACTTTCAGACCTTCTCCCCCACCCCGAAGATGACCACTCTTCGGGTTCTGCTGCACGTTGCTGCTCACCGTGACTACGAGCTGCACTCTCTTGACTTCAGCACTGCTTTCTTGCAGGGCAGCCTGCACGAGGAGATCTGGCTGCGTCGCCCACCTGGCTTCACTGGGTCTTTCCCTCCTGGTACCCAGTGGAGTCTCCGGCGTCCAGTCTACGGTCTCCGCCAGGCGCCACGTGAGTGGCACAACACACTGAGGACTACGCTCGCGGCACTTGGGTTTGCTCCTTCTACTGCCGACCCGTCGCTGTTTCTTCGCACCGACACCTCTCTGCCGCCGTTCTACATCCTCGTGTACGTCGACGACTTGGTCTTTGCCACAGCTGACACTACTGGACTCGCCTACGTGAAGTCCGAGCTGCAGAAGAGACACACGTGCACTGACCTGGGTGAACTGCGCAGTTACCTTGGCTTGCAGATCACCCGGGACAGAGCACGCCGCACCATTACCCTGACTCAGTCACACATGGTGCAGCAGGTCCTTCAGCGCTTCGGCTTCACGTACTCCTCGCCTCAGGCCACTCCTCTGCCTACTCGCCACTCGCTCTCAGCTCTGCCTTCGGATGAGTCCGTAGAGTCGAGTGGCCCGTTTGCAGAGCTTGTTGGCTGCCTCATGTACCTGATGACCTGCACACGACCTGACCTCGCATACCCTCTTAGCATTCTCGCACGCTTTGTTGCTCCTGGGAGACACCGACCAGAGCACATGGCTGCAGCGAAGAGGGTGTTGCGCTACTTGTGCAGTACGTCGGGCATGGGGCTAGTGCTTGGAGGGCGCAGTCCAGTGGTCCTCACTGGGCACGCAGACGCTTCTTGGGCTGACGACCAGGCTACGCAGCGGTCGTCACAGGGTTACACCTTCAGCCTAGGTTCCGGCTCTGTCTCGTGGCGGGCTACCCGCTCGTCTTCTGTTCTCGGCTCCAGTTGTGAGGCTGAGATCTACGCTGGGGCTATGGCTGCACAGGAGTTACGCTGGCTCACCTACCTGCTGACCGACCTTGGAGAGCAGCCTCGTTCTCCTCCAGTCCTGTACGTAGACAACAAGGCCATGCTGGCCTTGTGTCGAGAGCAGCGACTGGAGCACAGAACGAAGCACATTGCTCTCCGCTACTTTCTTGCTCGTGAGCTACAGCAGCGTGGACAGCTACGACTTGCGTACGTGGCCTCTGAGGCCAACACTGCTGATGTGTTCACCAAGGCACTTGCGCCTTGTGATCATCAGCGTTGTTGCACGCAGTTGGGTCTTGTGGCTGTCTTGCCTCACTTGCTCTCCTCTTGACCTTGCTTGTACCTTCGCCTATATATACTCTTGCTCTTGCTTGCTTGATTCTTGTATATCTCTATATATGATCTTGCATGTAAACTGGCCTTCTGGCCTTTGAACTTGTGCTCGGAATGCGTGGTGACTTTGTGATCCACCCTGAGCTTTGCTTTGCTTTGCTTGACTGGTCTTGTGACCCCTTGTTCTCCCCCACTTTGCCTATGGGGGTGTGTCAGAACATATAGCTTACTTGTTTCTGTAGGCTATAGTGGGGTATCCCATAGGGGGTACAACCCAATTAGGGTTTCCTATTTGTACCCACTTCATTTCATAGTCATTCACTCCCGTTCATTCAGTTTCACATCTCGCTCTCTCTCGCGCACTCTCACCACATTCTCTCTCTCTCTCTCTCTCTCTCTCTCTCTCTCTCTCTCTCTCTCTCTCTCTCGCACTCTCACCACATTCTCTCTCTCGCAAACTATCAGACGCATTCTCTCTCTCACGCTCTCACGCGCACTCACATGCACTCCCTCACGCGCTCTCTCATGCTCACTCTCACGCGCACTTTCACGCACTCTCTCCTGTGCTCTCTCACGCGCTCTCTCACGCGCTCTTATGCGCCCTCTTGCACTCTCTCACGCACTCTCTCGCGCGCTCTCTCAAGGCACACTCTCAGGCACACTCTCACGCACTCTCTCTCTCTCGCACTCTCTCTCGTGCATTCTCACCACGTTCTCTCTCTCACGCGCACTCTCACGCGCTCTCTCACGCGCTCTCTCACGCGCTCTATCAAGGCGCACTCTTAGGGGCACTCTCAGGCGCTCTCTTTCGCGCTCTTTTTCCCGCACGCTCACGTGCATTCTCTCTCTTACGTCCTTCTCTCATGCACTCTCACGCACATTCTCTCTCTCAAGCGCTCTCTCACACCCATTCTCTCTCTTACGTCCTTTCTTTCGCGCACTCTCACGCACATTCTCCCTCTCAAACACTCTCTCACGCGCACCCTCACACGCTCCCTCACACGCTCTCTCATGCGCTCTCACACGCGCTCTCTCACCCGCTCTCTCATGCGCACTCTCACGCGCTCTCTCACGCTCCCTCACGCGCTCCGTCCCGCACTCTCAGGCACACTCTCACGCACTCCCTCTCGCGCTCTCTCTCGCGCACTCTCACCACATTCTCTCTCTCGCGGACTATCACACGCATTCTCTCTCTCGCGCTCTCACATGCACTCACATGCGCTCCCTCACGCGCTCTCTCATGCTCGCTCGGTTAGGAGGGCACATGAACTATGAAACGAATAATGAGGCACTAGGAACAGATCCTAGGGCCTTTATACTAGGCTGGAGGGGGGCTGGAGAGGCTAAGGACTAGCTCCTAGGGCCTCTCTCTCTCTCTCTCTCTCTCTCTCTCTCTCTCTCTCTCTCTCTCTCTCTCTCTCTCTCTCTCTCTCTCTCTCTCTCTCTCGCTCTCTCTCCCGCTCGGTTAGGAGGGCACATGAACTATGAAACGAATAATGAGGCACTAGGAACAGATCCTAGGGCCTTTATACTAGGCTGGAGGGGGGCTGGAGAGGCTAAGGACTAGCTCCTAGGGCCTCTCTCTCTCTCTCTCTCTCTCTCTCTCTCTCTCTCTCTCTCTCTCTCTCTCTCTCTCGTTCTCTCTCTCGCATTCTCACCGCGTTCTCTCTCTCTCACGCGCTCTCTCACGCGCTCTCTCACGCGCTCTCTCACGCGCTCTCTCACGCGCTCTCTCACGCGCTCTCTCACGCGCTCTCTCACGCACTCTCTCATGTGCCATCTCACGCGCTCTCACGCACGCGCTCTCTTGCGCTCGCTCACGCGTTCTCTAACGCGCTCTCTCACGCGCTCTCTCACGCGCACCCTCACGCGCTCTGTCATGCGCTCCCTCACGCGCTCTCTCACGCGCTCTCTCACGCGCTCTCTTACGCGCTCTCTCACACGCTCTCATATGCGCACACGCTCTCCCTTGCGCTCCATCTCTTTCTTCTTCAAATGAAAGTGGAGATCAATCGACGCATTGGAGAGAAAAAAAAAATCAAAACAAAACAAAACAAAACAGGACGGAAATTTCAGAAGGGGGAAGGGAGGACGGAAGGACCAGGAACGCACCTGATAACCACGGTGCCTGATAAAACAATCCGTGCTCGCGTACCAACCCGCGCTTGCGCTCGTGCACCTGTCGCCGGACGGCGGAGAGGGAAGGAGAGGCGACGGCGAGGAGTAGGGAGAGGCGACCGCGGGGAGGAGCGAGAGGCAACGGCGGGGAGGAGGGAGAGGCGACCGGGGGGAGGAGGGAAAGGCGACGGCGGGGAGGAAGAGAGGCGACGGCCGGGAAGGAGGAGATGCGACGGCGGGGAGGAGGAGAGGCGACGGCGGGGAGGAGGAGAGGCGACGGCGGGGAGGAGGGAGGCGACGGCGGGGAGGAGGGAGAGGCGACGGCGGAGGGAGATGCGACGGTGGGGAGGAGGATAGGCGACGGCGGGGAGAAGGGAGGCGACGGCGAGGAGGAGGGAGGCGACGGCCGGGAGGTAAGGGAGAGGAGATGGCGGGGTGGATGGGACGGAGTGATTGTGAGGTGGGTTGGAGAGGTGTTAGCGGGTAGTGAGGGAGAGGATACGGCTGGATGGAGCGAGAGCGACGGCTAGGTGGGAGAAGAACTGGCGAGAAGGGGTGAGGGGGAGGGGAGGAAAAGGAGTAGGAGCAGAGCAGGTTCTTGTCGAGAAGATTCAAGAACAAGAACCAAGAAAAGACAGCGCCGCATTCAAGCTGTGAAAGAGACGGATGCCAGCGCAGAACGAGAAAATTTGTGCCAGAAGAGCGAGAAAATTTAGGGCGTGTTACATTTTTCATTTTTTTTTGTCCTGACGTCCAACCGTCCGGACGATTGTGTGATTACTGAACTCGTTAAATCTCGGCATTGAGTTCGTCAGGGTCTAAACGACGTCGCATTCTTCGTATTGCCTCCTTACGACATTGAATTGGTCGCAACACGACCGTACGACGTCGCAATTTTCGCACGTGTCCAGACAGCTGTCCGGACTTTCAGCGACTTCGAAAAATGTCGCACGCCCTTATGCCAGCACAGGAGGAGGGCATTCAGCGATGCCAAATGCCCAACCCGCTATAATAACCTGAAAGAACAATGGAGTTAAGCTGTTGGTGAAAACAATTCATGTTTATAAAAATCACAAAAAGAGCATACATGTCCACGTTGTTCCACAATTAATTGACAACTTTGAGGGGAAGCAACATCTATAGAACATTTCGCTTCATAATAGGGAACTATTGAGCCTGACCTGTTTTAAGTAAAAATGAAGAACTTAATTAATTGCTTCTATAAGCAAAATATAATTATAATGTATGTACTCTATCTTAATGTTTCTAACATAATGTTTCTAATACAAGAGATACAACTCTACGCAACCCTTCCGACGTAAACGTCGAGTCTTGTTTCTACATTGTCAAAGACAGATATGTCATTATCTATCGACTTCTGTGGTACCGCATCAACTCCGCCGCTAACAGCGCGGAAGCCGGCGGGGTATTACCCTCGGAGCAGACTCAACTGATATTACATACTTTGAGGCTGCGCGTGGCAGCACCCCTAGTCCCAGCAGCTCCAGTACCGCCAGTATGAGCACCTCCATGACCAGTGGCTCAAGCACCTCCAGCGCCGACCCCAGGGTCAGCAGCAACACCAACTCCTGTAGGCTCAGCACCCTCAGCTCCAGCTCCAGTAGCACCACGGAGGCTGCGACCGTACCGAGAGTACCACTCACGTTGCTGCTGGGAAGAGAGAGCGCCCCCAAGCACAGCACCCCCAGGCTCAAGACCTCTAGACCCAGCACCCCCAGGCTCAGCACCTGCAGTCTCTGCACCCCCAGGCTCAGCACCCCCGGTCTGCGCACCCCCAGGCTCAGCACCCCTAGTCGCAGTACCTCCAGACCCAGCACCACGAGGCTCAGCACGCTCAGTACCTTGCGCAAGACCAGAGTCGTCAGACACCTGGACAGGCTCGATCGGGTCTACCTGGGAAACAACTGAGGGAGCAGGACCTTGGGGAGGCAAGGGGTCTACCAAGGCAGCACCTGGCGTGAGGAAGAGCGGCGGAGGGGGGAGCGGGGCAATGCAATAGGGGAAGAGACGATAGAAGGGGACTGACTCGTCAAACGTGACGTCCTGGGAGGACAGAACACGGCGCGAGGTGGGGTGGTAAAACTGCCAACCACGCGCGTCAGGGGGGAAGACGTAGGGAACAGCACGGGGGGACAGCTTGTCCGCAGACAAGTCGCGGACAAAAGCTCGAGATCCCTAGACACGAAACGCAGACGCATCGCCAACCTTCCCCGTCCACCGCAGAGCAGGGGAGGTCTCCGGCAAGGAGACACGCGGCTGAAGGTTGATCTAATGCGCCGCGTACTGAACCGCGAACAGCCACAGAAAATGGGGAGCAGCCGCATGGATCATGGACGTACGAGCGACGTCCATGACCATGCCAATGTGGCGCTCAGCAATCCCATTTTGCTATGGAGAGGCTGGAAGCGTGAACGTCTGGCGGGTGACCTGTGCACGACAGAAGGCTCGCAGAAGGTCAGAGGAAAACTCACCGCCTCTATCGGAGTGCAGACGCAGAACAGGAAAGTCCGAGCCGAAACTCTCTCTAAGCTGGAGACGAGCTGCAAGGATCCAGTCGATCAACACCTCAGTGACTTCACCCTTGCTGCGCAAGGGGAAGACCATGGTGTAACGCGAGTAGTCGTCAACCACCAACAGGAGGTAACGCTCGTGATCCTGTCCACGGACGCGGGCGGGGCCCCACACGTCCATGTGAAGCGTCTCGAGTGGAGCCTCTGTCAGAGGAAACTCGGAGGAGCGAGGAGCGGCGTGCTGCCGTCCCTCGACGCAGGGAACGCAGGTGGGGGCAGGCCCTGGAGGAAGAGGAGGGAGGGACCGAGGGAGACAAGAGACAAGGAAACGAGAGGCCATGCCTCGGAGACGAGGCAGGGAGGGGTGACCAAGGCGGTGGTGCTAGAGGAGAGTCTCGTGAGACAGGAGACGACACGAACAGGGGGCAGACTCAGGACCAGACCTGGACGCTGCAGCAAACACCTGACCCGACGCAGCTACCTGAGCATACGCAGCAACCAGAGGAGACTCAGTAGTCAATGTGTACAAGCTCGACCCCGGCTGACGGGTAAACGTGGCCAAGTGTCGGCCCGTCCGAGCACACGTACAGTGGGTCACTCGCTGACTCGAAGGAATGAACTGGTCAACCCCTCCATCCTGTAGGTCGGCACCACTCACGAAGTTCGTAGAGAACGAGGGGAGGTAAAGACATGACAGTGTGCCAGAAGGGGCCGCCGGACACGGTAAGACAGTGGAGAAGTGGGCAATGATAGGACCCCCAGAGGGGTCTGCCAAGGAGACTGCAACCGGCTGACTAAGCGGCGTGAGTGTGGTGCGGTCTCGAAAGAAGGAGTAGGAAGCACCCGAGTGAAGGGTGAAGGTGTGCAAAACCTGAGCCGACGTGGTGCCTGAGAGAGCAGACACACTAGCACCTGGGGCAGCAGACTCACCAGTACCTGGAGCAGCAGACGCAATGGCTCCTAGAGCAGATGCCTCACCAGCACCTAGAGCAGCAGCCTCAATGCCCGGGTTAGGCGGAACACACAGGGAATAGTCACCCTCATCAATAGTAGGCAATGCATATATGGCAGTGAGGATAGCATCACAGTCAAGAGTATAGATATCCACCCTCTGCCCAAGCAGCTGCACCCAGTCGGGGAGCTCAGCCGCGTCGCCAAACTCCGTACGCGAGGCGTTGCTCAGACGGGCAAAATAACGGGACTCTGTGTGACCGAACGTCCCGCAAGGCTGACCAGTCCGAGCACCAGTGCGAATGACGTACGGACAGCGAGCAGTACCCCGTGACCCTCCACGCTGAGCGTACCACTCACGAAGCTGCTGGGGCGAAAGGACCGCGCGCGGACGACGCTGCAACTGCACCTGGCCACTACAAGCAGCTCCCGAACTACTCACTCTAGGACGACTCCCACCACGGCCACCCCGACAACCCCAAGTAGCGTACCACTCACGAAGCTGATGGGGCGTGAGGGACTCACGGGGACGTCGCTGGAGCTGCTTCTGGTCACCGTCAGGAGAAGCAGTAGCAGTAGTGGCAGCGCGGTCACCCCTACAACCCCAACTAGCGTACCACTCACGAAGCTGATGGGGGGTGAGGGACTCACGCGGACGGCGCTGTAACTGCATCTGGCCACGCCAGGAGCAGTAGTAGTAGTAGTAGAAAGAGCAGTAGCAGCAAGAGCAGCAGTAACAGCAATAACAACGCTCACCAGTGGCAAGAAGGGCAGGTGGACGATAGCGGCAATGGCGAGGCCGCTACCACCGCAGGGCGAGGGCTCCGGGGCTGCTGGTCCAGGGGCCAGGGGCGGCTGCTCCAGGGGCCAGGGGGCCGAGGCGGGCAGGGGCAGCGGCGGCGGCGGCTGCTATTGTCGGTGGCGGCGGCCGCTGCTTTCGGCGGTTGACACGGCAGCGACGGCGGCGGCTGCTATTGTCGGCGGCGGCGGCTGCTGTTGTCGGCGGCGGCAGCTGCTGTTGTCGGCGGCTGACACGGCAGCGGCGGCGGCGGCTGCTATTGTCGGCGGCGGCGGCTGCTGCTGTCGGCGGCGGCGGCTGCTGCTGTCGGCGGCTAACACGGTAGCCGCGGCGGCGGCTGCTGTTGTCGGCGGCGGCGGCGGCTGCTGTTGTCGCCGGCAGCGGCTGCTGCTGTCGGCGGCTGACACGGCAGCGATGGCGGCGGCTGGTGTTGTCGGTGGCGGCGGCGGCGGCTGCAGGGCCTTGAAGGGGCCACGATGTCAGAATGAGAAACAGGAATGTATGTGACTAGCAGGAACAACAGTACAAATATGAAACCCTAAACTGGTGTACCCCCTATGGTGTGACCCACTACAGCCTAGAACCACACAAACATATAATGTTTGACACACCCCCATAGGCAAAGTGGGGGAGACCTAGCGGTCACAAGACCAGTTCACATGCAGTTTTATAACAGAGCAAGAGGTACAATGATCACAACCTAGCAAGGGCAAACATGCAGGTATATATATAATGATCCCAGTACAGGCAAGGTCGAGAAGTAAGCAAGTGAGGAACAGTCGGCACAAGGCCTAGAAGAGTGCAAAAACGCTGATGGTCAACAGGCGGAAGCGCCTTGGTGAACACATCAGCAGTGTTGGCCTCAGTGGCCACGTAACGCAGAAGAAGCTGACCACGATGCTGTAGCTCTCGAGCTAGAAAGTAACGCAGAGCAATGTGCTTCGTCCTGTGCTCCAGTCTGTCCTCAAGAACGTCCGTGCCTAGGGGTCACAAGACCAGTCAAGGCAAAGCAAGGCAACCAAACTCCTCCTGTCTGTCCTCAAGAACGTCCGTGCCAAGAGCAAACTCACCCCCGACGGACGGAGGACAGACAGACTCAGACTCAGCAACAAGACTCGCAGCGTAGTCTAGACGACACGCAGCTGCAAAGTCGACAAGCCCAGTGACTAAGGCAGACGCAGCAGCGGACTCAAAGGAAGGGTCAGTGACAACTGTAGCCAGGAGACGTGTGACAGTAGGACTGGTAGCG